ATCCCTATATTTCCACTTATATGTACATCACAGGCTAGAACTTCCTAAAACTCTAGAACAGTGCCCAAAACTGGGAAAAACTCTTCCAGAGGATGCCTTTATTCCATATGAAAGTCTTTTAATTTCCTTTTATGCTGTGTTTTCCTCTTTAAATAGCTGCTGTAAATATGCTTAAGTTGCTTCTGATGCTGTTTCAATTCCAAAAGCTCTGAACAACAGTATCAAAGCACCAACTCAGTAGTGTTTAACAGCCTTATTCAATAAAAACTGTCAGTTCCTGTTGCCCACAGGCTTTGTAGGCTTTATGTAACTACAGCAGATGGACTGTGCCCTCAGTGCATTTTGTCACATTCAACAGTTTGTGTAGGGCTGGACTCACCATGCCATGCTTTCAAAGACAGACAATTTCTACAGTTCTCTTTTCCCACAGAGAATGGAGGAGCCAAGATGACTATGTGCCTGCCTTAAGTACCCACTTCTGGTTAAGATATATCTCCCGTTAGGTGTTGGTCTTTTAAAAAATTACTGAAGGTTTAATCTCTTCCTTGGATACTGGGTACCAAACTTACAACATCTCAAACAGGCTTGTTCAGGTGTTCAACAGAGCATGAGAATTTTCAACAGCATCAAGGCTGCTGTATACTGAGGAAATGATCTAGTTCTAAACCTTGTCTGGTCAAGAGCTGTTCCCCACAAGCAGTGTTTACTAGAAGATAGTAGAGACACTAATGATGACGTGTGAGTCATTGTTGTGCTTTTTCAAATGGTCTGTAGCTAAAGATAATCCTGGGTGCTATGTTGGTACTGTGTGGGTTTAAGTAACATAATGCCTGAAGTGAGGGGTAAATTATTCTGCAAGTCAGGTAGCCTTCCTGCATTAGGGCATTACTTGACTGAAAAAACTAGTATCTTGCTTAGACTATATGAAACAGTATAGTTTGATCACTGCAAGCTGTATGTGCAAAGTATCTGGACTAGAAAACTGTTGGTGTTTTGATGTTAACAAATGAAATGCCAATTGAATTGTAAAGCAGAACTTTTCAGGTGTAAAAGCTTTAACTATACTCCATAGACTCTTACAGGAGGTGTCTGTATTGCTTCAAATTGGACTCAGCAAAAAATGAAAAAACAGAGTGAATGTCTCCCTGTCAATTAAGGAAGTCCTGAACTCTGTCTTGCATGGACTCTTGAATTCAGCCAAGTGATGAACACTTCTCACTCCTATTTCAGAAGTAAAACATTTTTGGTAAGAACACAGTAAATACTCAGTTGTCCACAGTCTTCATTAAAATAACTGTTTATTCCTTTCCATTTCTGAAAGTACTTAGCTAAGTGAAACAAGAATTTTACAATGTGTAATGCTGCAATTTAACTATAGTGTTGTGAAGACTAGTGTTTACAGTGTAAAATGTTACCATGAAAACTGCGTGAGAATGTCCCTGTAAAATGCAGTAGCATGCCTGTTCAGTCACTGCTGTCACATCTTTCCAACTATGAAATACAGATGTTTTCACTGGAAGCCAAGATAGTCAAGGTGATAGGTAACTTAGAGCTAAACTTAACAAAACTGAGGGTCAGACCTGAACTTTTGGTAGGTATTTTATCCAGGTAGCAAATGCACATTTAAATTGAACTTTTAACATGTAGGGAAGTGTATCTGCTCTCATTTTTTTATGGTATAATGCAGTGCCACTGACCTATAATGGCCTCTCTGACTCTTCTTTTACTGTGATAGGGACCAAATGCTAGCAATCTGAAGGCCTTATGTGTGGTAACCTGGATGTTCCAATTTTCCAGCTCACTCAGCAGCAAAGCCATATATGAAGCCTGACTCAACACCTTGACAGTAGCCCCCAGGAAATTAGGGGTACAAGTGAATGGGAAGATGCCTCAGTTATTGTTAGCACTGAATTCACTTTAAAAACAATAGGGAAATACCATCTAAGCTTGAAGCAATATGTGTTTTTTAAAGTTTTTAAACAGTGTTTGTTTTTAATGCTTCTGTATTGTCTATATTTATAGTGTAGTGTCAACTTGTACATGTGAATAAAATGAGTGACACAAAGTGCCTTGACTGCTTGTATGGGGATGTTTGAGAGGGTCTCAGATTTTTCCTTCCTTGAGGGTTGCTTTAGGCCCTGCATGCTGCAACCTGTGGCTTCTGCTTGTCCCAGATATTCTCTCCTGGAAAGTGAAGGCTTCTGTAATGGTTAACGTTGACTAAGAGGTTAGATTACAGTTACAAGTCCAGTCTCCTATGTTCCTCCTGTAACTCTCCCAGATTCTTAATACCCTTTCCCAATGTGACTCATTCTTTAGCCCACTAAAATAGGCAAAACAATAAAAAAAGCTCTAATAGCTGTCTGAAGTGCTCTGCATGCTGAAACCTCTAGGAATCTAAATTTAGAAATTTAGAGAAAAAGGGTAACATGGGGAAAAAACCCAAGAAGCTGCATCACTAAGAACAAGCAGACTCATGCAAACAGGAAAAATTCAGCCATTAAAAAGATGGCTCCACTGAAATTCTATATGCTGCTGCTTCTGTGGTAAAAGAACAAGACTGGGTATTTTTACTCACTGTGGATTTACAATGGATTTTGTGAAATTTTTATAGAGTTAAATATCTTAGCATATAAAATATAATGCAAATGAGCTGCACAGCAGAATCAGTTTTTTCTACAGCATTCACTTTTTAAAGGAGCTAAGGGAGGTGCACACAGTTGAGCCATACAGCATACCTAGCTGAATACAAAGAATGGATAAAATGGGTTAATTGTGAATTCTATAGGAGTTGCCTAATAGTGGTTATGGATTTCACTTAGCAGACAAAGCTTGTACAAGTAAATAGGATTTGCTGTAAGACACGTGGAAAATCAGAAAGATTCTTTATTTAGTGCTAGATACAAGCATTAAATGAAATAGTGTAGGCCAACAGACTCATTAAAAGGCAAGACATAGGCTTTAATAAGACATTTAAATCTCTCAAAGGTCTGAACAGCTAAAGCTCCACATCCCATGAATCCTCAGATACAAGTACCTGGTAGCATTTCACGTAAAACTCCCAGCCATCGTGCTTTGGTAAAGTAAGAATTTTACCCTAAAAACACACATAACTTAACCTATTTATCACTTACCGTTTAGGTGAGCTATGTTTGATTTGCAGAATCAACTCTAATGCTAAAGCTTAAAATCTACTCCAGGCCTGATATTGGCATGATGTTTAGTTTTAGAAATAAAACCCCCTCAGAGGAGCAGTAGTAAACAATAGAGCTTGCACTGGTGAGAGCTATTGCTTCCAACAGTATTTCTCTCAGGAGTGGCCATTTTAGAAAGTTTCTTCTTAGAATGTCAGCAAGATATGCAGCATTAAAAGGCTGAGATACTACAAAACATGCACATTAACCAGGTTAATGTGTATACAGTAAGAATATACATTAAAAAATGATAGAAACATGTCCAAACTCATTATAATGACACTACTCTTTCCTTCCAGGGAGGAAGGGGACAGCTACTGAAAGAATAAAACTATTTACTGCTTTTTAAACCACAGACACTTGACCAAAATGATCATAAGAACCAATTATACAAAACAGGCCAGTCTTATATGGAAAGGGAAAAGGACAGGAAGAAGTACAAGAAAATCCCTGCCAAACCCCTGAAGTTTCTATTTAAAAGCAACAGAATTAAGTGTCAGTCCTCTCTCTGCTCCTTTCAACTGCTACTGTAATAATGGCAAGAAGTTTTTATCAGCAGCCAACACCACTTCAACCATTGTAACAGTGACAGGAGAGCAACCTTGAGCTTTACTTGTGCTGTGTCTCAGCTGATAAGTGTTCAGCTTTTGCTTCTGCCAGTGTGCCAAAAAGCCTGATTAGGTTGTGGTAAAGGGTGGAATAGACTACTCAGTATCTCACCTTTTCCCAGCATTCCAGAACTGGTTTGGGGTTTTGGAACCAACACTCTTCCCCAACTCTGGCAGAAACATAAGACATCCCAGTTAATAACTGGCCCTTTGAACTGGTGGAGGAGACAACTCCGTTCAACTTCTACTCCAGAGGACTTGCTTTTGGTAATTTAAGTTCTGAAAGCCAAACTGAACTGAGTGAGGATTAAGACAGGTAAGTTTCTTTGGAGTTCTCTGATGTTCTTGGAAATACACAGTTAAGCTGCTGCAAAAAAACCCACTTCACACTCTTACCAGGAAGAGAATATTCCTTGGGAATAACTGCTATTAGTTATGTAACAAATCCAATCCTAAGAT